TAAAATTTTTTCAAATCGACTAGTTGGAAAGTTGGCAACTAGTTGATTTTTCAACTAACGATTTGGAACACTAACCCCATATTACTCTCTTTTCATGTTAGTGTTCGTATAGTTATAGGCAAAAATCTCTTTATTTCTACTATATACTTTGTTAATTACACATTAATGTTTTCTATATACTATTAAAATCCCCTCTTAATGTTACGCAAGAACTTACGTATGTAGCACTTAGTTTCTTTTTTCTCGAGTTTGTATCACTCGCACAATAAGTTCCTATTGTGCTACTTGCCCGGTATGCCTGGAATTACTGTATAAGGGCCTAATTTTGGTCAGGCGCAATTTAAATGACTAAAGTAAGTTGTGACACTAAATTGCAGTATCCTAATAAAACAGTGGTCGTATGTGATTTGGGGCGTGAAAATTTTTATGCGGGTTCAAGCAAACCTGCGATATGCAAATGCAGTTATAAATCAACGAACATGGTCATCGTGTAACATTAGATTTTTATTGTAGTAGATTAATTTGTCTTTATTCATTTCTGTCCATTATAAATAAATTTGATCGTGACTAAGTGAATATAGAATAATGTCTGCGGACCGTCATCTATAATTAGAAGATGACGGCGATCATTGAACTGCCTAAAAAATAGTAGTTAAATCACAAGCTAAACTTATATGTGTAATGCAAAGGATGCGTAAAAAAAAATTAACGGGAGGAACAGTCAATGTTGCACAACTAATCCAACTTGTGAGGGACTATATTTATAACATTGACAGTAGAGTGATCCAATATTGTAAAATGAACGTGAGGGATTAGTTGTGCATCATTGACTGTTCCTTCGTTTTAAAAAATCAAAAAGCAACTTTTGTATGAGCTTAAAATTTTGCCTATGAAAGTGCCTGCTGCATACTAACAAAAAGGTTGCCTCTGAAAGTTTACTACAACTATAATCCTTTAAACCAAACTATAACCTAACGGTAGAGCCCTAACCCTAAAGTTAACAGAGAAACAATTTTTTTTTAATAAGATTGTGAAATATTTACGCTTAGGGTGATACTACGTAATAGTTATATCCTGTGCAGTTGGGTATAAGCGGGGCTGAAAGTCCAGCTTATACACATAGTGCCCAGGGTATAACTGATTTATGCCTGCGATCTTGATATAGTGACCAGGGTATAAGTAGACTTATACCGCCTAAAATTTTCTTAATCGTTTAATCTTACGTATTAACTAAGATAATTCTGGTCCATGATAAACCAGCACTACGATTATTTATATCATAAAGTAGAGTTATACTATAGACTTATATGTACTGTACGTACGTACGTACGTACTATATTTACGCAAGAACATTACCCGTACAAAAAAGATTCGATATTTTTTAAAATTTTTATTAATAAATTTTATAATCACCCAAATAAGGACATTAACTAAACAAGAATCGATACATATAACAAAAAAAAAAGTATAATATGTATATCTTGAAAATAGAATAAAAATTATTTACAAATTTAAATGAAATTTAAATGATTAGATAAAACAAAACTTTAAGAAACATATTAAACTAAATTTTTCTTTTTGGCGTAAGAACAGAACTAAAATAATATGAAAATTTAAAATAAGCATTAATTTGAGTATAGACATTAGTTAAGTATATTGAAAGAAAAATTTTGGACTCGGCCAGATATAACTTTACCTCATCAAAGAGAATAAAACCACCCTTATTCTCATCTATCTTTTCGAACTCTGTCTTAAGCTCATTATCTGAAAGGTCATTTAATTTCATAAACTTACGCCCCTTCTTGAAATCATCAAAATGGATACGTCCGTCCTTGTCTTTATCAACTTTTTGAAAAATTTCATATAGTTCATAATACAAGTTAAGAGAATCAAGGAGACGGCCAAATTCTTCGATTTCAACGTAACCGTCCTGATTGAATATTTAATGTTATAATGAAAATTAATGTTATTAAGAATGATAGTTAATGTTATTAAGAATGATAGTTAATGTTAAAAATGAACATTAATGTTAAGAATGTATGCATTAATAAGCTTATATATAATACGTAGTGTAAATTTTACAAACCTTTGAAGTATCTGCTTCTTTATAAGCTCGCATTATGACTTTTTTTTTGTCCTTGAATTGCGGATAGGCTCTGATTGCAGCACTTTCAATTTCATTATAAGATAATTTACCGTTTCCGTTTTGATCGAAGGAGTTAAAAAGCTGTCATAATGATTAAGTTCATAAGTTGAAAATTATTTGAGATTTTCATAAAGAAATTTATATTATAACTAATTACCTCCTTGATTTTCTCTTTGCTTAATGTATCAGCCATGAAGTTTGAATTTGAATATTTTTTTACGTATCTTTAAGTATGATTTAAATATAATTATTTGAGCAATTATTTTTTTTTTTTAGTGGGTTGGAATATGGACGATTTTTATACTATATTATCTGTTCAATCGCTTTTAATTCGTAAATTTAAATTTCAAGATATTATGGACAAATATGGTTATTGTAGTGTACCGTTGAAGGATCATATATTTAATAAGATAAGGCTTTATAATGATACATATTTTAGGAATATTTATGTTTTGTCCATTTTGAATAAATTTAGTCATGAACTAAACCATATATATTAATACGTAACACTTGTATTGGTAGTATTTCGATATGCATTAAATTACTCGTATAACAGAACTACTCAATCATTCTTAATACTTGTAGCGAATTTCATTTATGTATTAGCGTTGGCGATTATCAAAAAAAAGAAATATTTATTGCATATTTATTTAGGGAAATTCGTTTATATGTAGTATGTTTTTTTTAATCTTATTTAAGCTTACACATCCACATTAACGGATTCTAGTCTCGTCAGCCAATTTCTAATAAGGATAAATAAAATGATGCGAGTTCTTTATACGTATCTTGTTTGCATTATGCAGCCTTATTTTTTTTTTTAGATTATCATAACTTTAGTTGAAATTATTTCAAACAATATAATTAGTAATTAGTGAAAACAATATTATAGTAAATATTATATTGTGGACTTTTTATATTGTTAGACGGTGCAAAGATGGGCACTCTGCTTTTCGACTTTGTGTAATCAGCTTCACCACTTTTTCTGCAATGCTGATTAGTTGGGCATACTAAATTTTTATAGTATTGTTTGGTTTATCGCGCGACAGCTTAAGTGCATATTGTGAAACACTAGTAACAGAAAGAAAGTAAAAAAAAAGTTTCCTTATGTGGTAGGTTTCGATCCAAATATCAAAGTCTAATGTTTTATTGCGACAATAATTGGGTCTGCAGCTAAGTATTTATTCCTTATTCATTTTGTAACTGCTAATTCTAAGTTTCTTCATGGTGATCCTGTTACGGTTACTGCATATTAATTGATCAAATGTCAAAAAAAAAGTCATGAGCGCCAAGAATGCTTAAAATATTGATAGGTCCTTACTTGTAAATACCCTAAAAAATAAGAATTATTTGAGTTCGAAGTTGTTTAAATACAAATAGTTTAACAATTTAGCAACTACTGTAACAATAAAATAGCGCTTTCATAGTTGTGAGACGCTAATTATCAAATTTGTCATTTCTATTTTGATTGTTAACCATTTTAAAGAAAAGACAATCTATCGTTTCACAAAATTGAAAGCGTTTTAGATTCTAAGTTGTAACGGTAATAGTAATCGCTGATTATTTGAGTTAAACTGGGCAGAGGTATGTTGTAACTGAATATTGAATATCGATATGCAGATCTGTTGCTAATATGTTAAGATAATGAATGATCTAATATAGAAATTTATAATCATTAGCATATGAGTGCGTGAGAATGAAAACCTGTAACCAATCATAGTAAATCATTAAATCTATTTCCAGGTTTTCACTCTTACAAAGGAAACAAATTCAGAATAAAAATTATACGCGCATTGCGCACATAATTTTAAATTTATTGTTAGTATGCCGCACATGTTATTAAATTATAATGTGCGCTTTTAATTTATTAACTATATAGCACATTATTTAAAATATATTGCTAAATAAGTTATGTGCGCTTTGCGCACAATTATATATTTTTTTTTTATGCGCAAAAAATTTTTATGTGCGGAGCGCACATGCGCACATCGAATTTTTTTCACTGGCTCTCACGCACTCATATATTCCCCTTTTCTGTTTTTTTTTCGTCGGATTTTTTTACCACCCTAATAAATTGACAATCAAAAACGTTTCTAGGAGGACATTCATGCAATTAGCTAATTTTATTAATATTATAAATTAATCAAATTAATCTAACGCTAAGTAAAAGGGCGAACAATTAATCTTAGGCGTGTATAAAGAACATTAATTAATTGAGCGTCCATTGGTTGAACATTCATTAATTAAATATTTGGATTAGCTGCTCAAGTTTGTAAACTATCATTATGTATTACCTTATTAAATTGATTACTAAGTGAGCAAAAGAAATTCATTAATCAAATTATTCAATATATGCCATTAAAACCCGTGAAAGTCTGCTATTGCGCATTATTCAGTTTTATAATTTCAGTATGGACGTACATTTATGTGATCGGAGGAACCGTTGATGTTACATGAAATCGGTGGAAATTTTTTTATTATTTTTAAAATGCTTTTTTGGAAGGCTTACTTGACTTATCCTTTCTATATGGATATTTAAAGTGATTAACCAAACATGATGCTCTCACTTTGCTTTACAACATATTCTTTAAATCACCTTGAATCTCATATTTTCGTCTTTTTTTGTAAATTTTCGCAATTTGATTGGTTGATTAATCCGTATTTGGACCTGTTTATCTATATGAGAGAAAAACAACTTTCAATCAGGTCATGATCAAGAATGCCGTAAATTTTGACGAGTTTGGGAATGGATCATGATTATTAATAACAGATCTTTCCTTTTTGTTCGTGCCGATTTTGAGTATACGTATCAATATTAAAATCTTGTACGTACTATTAAGTGGCTCTATGACAGGCTACTTATTGCAGCCTGTAAAATAAAATACGAGTAGTTATTAAATAGAGTCTTTGCAGTAGAAAAGGCCTAAATTATATATATATTAAATATAGCATTTAGGCCATTTCTACTGCAAAGACTCTAAATACTTTTCTGTTATATAAAATTTTATATAATCGTGTGTGTTTTTTTTTTTTTTTTTTTTTTTTTTTTTTGTCATGATATTTTTAGCATGAAATTACATAAATCGTATACAGTATAACATCAATATTGGATACATATAAGGATGCTTAGCAGAAATTTTCTTTCATCGGATTTAATGCTAAGCAACAATTGAGAGTCAGCATAAAAAACGGTAGTGTATAAATTTATCTTGAGGCATTAATAAAAAATGTCAAGGAAGGATTTTACTAATATAAGTAAGTCTAACCATAGGCTAGCACTAATATATAGCAAAATTAATTAATGTTATACAAAAATTCTCCCGCTTTAGACTCCCCTATTTATTGAAATAAACATCTGCCAGGCCATGGATGATGCAAAAATAGAATTTTATCTCGAATAATTGCATTAAAGGATTTCGATCTAAAATTTGAACAAGATCCAATCAAATCGCATGTTTATAAGTTGGTTTTATCAGAAATTTTCGAAAGGTTAAACAATTAATTAATAAAAGATACTAGCGTGATCGTTGGAAAGTTTCAATATATTAATATTTGCACAGTAATATAAATTACAATACAGAATTTGATGCAAAAATGAACCTTTAATTACAAATTTTATTTTGCAAATTTAATCACCGCAGGAAAATCGTCCCTGACACCCGTCCAAAATTAAATATATAAACAAATCTTGTTAATACGTACATATCTAAATGCTTTGTCCTATCCTAATCCTAGTCCTTCCTATATTTTTTTTTATATTATAAAATGATGCCCGCATGCAAATGTCTTCTTTATCCAATTTAATTGGACAATCTTGTATATACAGTATGTGCATAAAATATGAATTCGTATATCGATATTATTTATAATACTAAGAACATTATGTAATTCACATAATTTGAGAATGCATGTTTTGTTTTCACACGGAATAATTGGCGACGAAATTTTATACACAAT